CATTTCTATGTCACTTTAGGGTTTGCAAAGCACTTTACATATGCTATCCCATTCGATCATATGAGGGAAGTGCTATTACTTTTCTCATTTTATAGATGGAGAAACTGAAGGTGAGGGGTGGGGAGAGAGAAGGAGATGGGAAGGGAAGTGAGTATCCAGTGACTTGTCCAAGGTTACACAGTCAGTAAGCACCAGATCCTGACTCAGGAGCCAGGGCTCTTTCCCCTATACCACTCTCCACTCATTATTCCTCCAGAGGCTTGTCAAACTCAGCAGTGCAATTCAGGTTGATTAACAAAGCCAGCATTTTAGCAGAAGAATTGCTAGACGTTGTCTTATAAAAAAAAATGAATTCTAAAATAGCTCTTTTTCTCCCTTCTCTCAGGTGCTTAGAATTACAGCCCAACAACCTGAAAGCTCTCATGGCCTTGGCTGTGAGTTACACCAATACTGGCCATCAACAAGATGCTTGCAGTGCTCTGAAGAATTGGATTAGGCAAAATCCTAAATATAAGTATTTAGTGAAGAACAAAAAGGCGTCTCCAGGCCCAGCCCGAAGGATGTCTAAGTCACCAGTTGATAGGTACCCTATTCAATGTGTTACCTCATTAGTAAGTGCCTGTATTCACCTTAGGATTCAATCAGTCAATCAACAAACATATATTAATTGCCTGCTCCATGACAGGCACTGTGCTAAGAGCTAGGGATACAAAGACCAAACTGAAACAGTCCCTGCCCTCAAGGAGCTTACATTCTATCAATAAGACAATATCTCCATATACAGGCAGATACAAAATCATTACAAGCTAACAGGAGAGAGGCAGTAGCAGTTAGGGGAAAGACGAGATCCAGAAAGATTTTGTATAGAAGGTGGAATATGAACTGAGCTAAGTTTTCCCGATTTACCACTCCAGAAAGGGTTTTAGTAAAGTATCCTTCCAGAAAGCCTCTTATAAGTTAAAAAAGCAAATTATAAGATATCATTGGATTGGAACTCAACCTTTCTGATCCCAGCTCAGGAATCTTCAATAGATGCCTATTGCTGCCATGATGAAATACAAATTCCTCAGCTAGCCATTTGAAGCTCCAAACAATCTGGCTCTAGCCTCCCTTGCCAGACATATTTCATATTATTTCCCCTTCATTCTGTTTATGTTTCAGCCAAACTGGTCTGGTCTACATTCCATCTCCTGCCCCTGTGTGTTTGCATAGGCTGTGCCCCATGCTTGGCATGTATTTCTTTCTCCATTTGTTAGGATCCAAATTTCCAAGTTCTGCTCTGGTACCACCTTCAATTGAAAGCCTTTCCTGACTCCCATGGTTGTTAGTGATCACTCTTTCCTCAAATCATCTTGCATTCATTTCCATATCATAGACTATGATAAATCACAACTGCGGAGCTGGAAGGGGTCTTGGAGGCTATCACTAGTACAATCCTCTTATTTTACACATAGGAAACCTAAGGAGCAGACAGGTAAATGACTTACCCAAGGTCACACAAGTAGTAAGTAACAGAAGCAAGATTTGGAACCTGGTTCTTCTCTCTCCAAATCCAGGGCTCTGCTTAACTGTGCACATATTGTTTCCCCATTAGAATATAAGCTCCTCCAGGGCAGAAACTGCCATCATTGTCACTGCATTCCTAGCTTCTATCACAGTGCCTAACACACTTTAAGCAGACACTTGATGAGTACTAACTGGATGAAATTGCATTGAGTCAAAACTTTCAAAACATGATTCACACTGAATGATCTTAAGAGACATTTGTATGCTTACCATATTTTAAACCAAAGCCTTTAGCCTTTTACTTTCTCTAAAGCAAAGTATAATTAATATCAGCACCTCAGCTTTTACATGAACTGTGAGTTAAATTGTGACCAAACCAGAAATGACATCCCTGAGGAACCTCTGCTGTTTTAGAGATAAATCATTCACAAAACCCAAAATGATAGCTGCTGGAAGAATGCAGAAGCGTGGTGCTGAAATCCTCCACGTTCCTCCTCATGGTTTTAAATAGAGTCCTTGTAAAGAGCTCACCTTTGGAGCTATATCTAAGTGAAGCAAAATATCTGAATGAAAATCAGCACATATTTTATAATATTCGAAGGTACCAATAGCGAGGGTTTCAACTCATGCTTCAAAAAGAGGAAGAAAGATTGATTGGAGTCCAAAATCTAAAAAAAATTCTTTTCTTTGAGGGTCATCCTATGTACAGATGAAAATTCCCCCCATACATTTTCATTTACTCCTCCAGAGTGACCTTTTCCCCCATTGTAATCTAGCCTGGACAGATGCTGAAGTATTACCCAGCAGTCTAAATGGGTTTGTGGTTTGAAGAAATTGATCCACAAATGTGAATGAAAGCCTTAGACCCCATTTTCTTGAGACACAAATTGAATTGCAACTTAACTGACTAAATTCTGCAAACCATGCACTCATTTTCTTGGAGGGAAATCTACTGCTTTTTTGATCCTATCTCCAGAAGGTCAAATTCTGAGATCAAATAAAAGTGGTCTCTTTGGGCACAATCAGCAGTACAAACTACTTCCTGAATTCTACTTGTTAGGGGGCTTTAGACATTTAATGAAGAAGCTAATTTTCCTACTGTTTCCAAGTAACATTGAGATAAATCCCCAAGCTTCTGATTTTTTTAATGTCATTTTGTTTTATTTTATGAATTAGAAGGAAAATGGGCTGGTTTTCTATAGTGAAGTGTAGCTATAGACAGTGAAGTGTTATGCTGGTACTCTTGTGATATCAGGAGAAAATGAGAATAAGAGAGCAATAGTCTTAGTTGACCCTGCCTTGATCAGATTACAACTGTTATAGTATCTCATTGCTATTCTGGACATCAGATTTAAAGAAAGGCATTGATAAACTGGAAAGAGTTTAAAGGAGGGCAACGAAGATGATGAAGTCCCCTGAGCCCACGACAATGAGAATCAGTTGAATGAAATGGGTATATTTAGACTTAATCTGAATTTAGTCTGACATTGATAACTGTCTTCAAGCATCTGAAGGATTGTTTTGTGGGCGATTTTCTGCTTGGCCCTAGAGGGCAGAACCAGGAGTAATGGATGGGTGGGAGGTACAAAGAGCTAAATTTAGGTTTGATGAAAAGATAAGTAGAGCTGTCCAAAAGTGGACTGAAATTCTCAATTCTTGGATTTTGAGGCTTATCACCCCCTTCCTAAGGGAACTGAGCAATTTTGTGGGTCTGATGTGGGCAGAGGACTTTTCATTATGACTGATAATAATAATGCCTCACATTTATATACTGGTCTAAAATTTTCCAAGCACTTTACAAACATTATCTCATTAGCTGGGGACAGTGTGGGATAAGGAGGAACATTCTGAAGGCCCCTGTGATTTGTGTTTTACTCTCCTCTAGTTCAGTCCTGGAAGGAGTTAAGGAGCTGTACCTGGAGGCTGCCCACCAGAATGGAGAGATGATCGACCCTGACCTGCAGACCGGCCTGGGGGTGCTATTCCACCTAAGTGGAGAATTCAGTAGAGCAATAGACGCATTTAATGCTGCCTTAACAGTTCGACCAGAGGCAAGTAGAGTAATGGTTTTCTGTTCATTGGATCTCAAGGTTCCCCTTTTGCCCATTCCCACCCCCAAGGCAAAGACTGTTTCACTTTCAACTTTATATCCTCTAGTATACCTAGTATAGTGACTTGCACACAGTAGGTACTAAATAAATGCTACTTAATTGATTTGTATCCCAGTTCCTGGCATATAAGAGGTGCTTAATAAATGCTAGTTGATAGATTTGTAATACCAGCTCCTGGAACATAATAGGTGTTTAATAAATGTTAGTTAGTGGGTTTGCAGCTCTAGTTGTAGGTACTTAAGAAGAATTTGATTAATGAAATTGCATTGCAATAGGTTTCTCAGGCCATACTCCTTCCACACATATTTAACAGTTTAAGATGGTCAATATTAATGAGGTATTACTTTGGCTGTTAATATTTTAATTCCTAAAAATAAGAGAGGGAGAAAGGGAATATTTTAATGCCTGAAATAGAAATGTTAATTGAAAAGTTCCCAATGAAAAGCAGATTTATGCATGTCAAATTATGGACACTGGCTGATGAATGGGAGCAGGTTCACAAAGTTTTCCTTGATCCCATTGTGCCACATCATTGTAGTCCATGACAACTAGTCCTAGATAAACTTTTATGAATCTTCATTATTCTAAGGCGGGGTGGAGAGGGGTGGGGGGAAGAATGGTTTTCTCCATCATTCTGACTTATACCAAAATTAGAAACATCTGACTTCATTGTTAGGATTATTCATTATGGAACCGCCTTGGTGCCACATTGGCCAATGGAGACCGCAGTGAGGAAGCTGTTGAAGCCTATACCCGAGCTCTGGAAATCCAGCCTGGCTTCATCCGGTCCAGATACAATTTGGGAATTAGCTGCATCAACCTGGGAGCTTACAGGTAATTCATGAAAACAAACTGAGTGTTAAAAGCTGAATCTGATGCTCATCCTACCTACCTACTGGGGCAAACCAACTCCCTGTGTAGTAGCCTAGAGGATCATCTGTAAGACTATACAGTATCTACTTAAAAACTATAAAACTTCTAATTTTATAGATTTTATGATTGCTCCTCCCCCCCACCCCCCACCACACGACCCCTGATGGAAAATATGGTTGAAGATTGCAATATGGAAGGGGCTAGAGTCTTGTAGGCTATTCAGAAGCACAACCCCTGTGTATCATGAATACTTTCTTAAAGAAGAGAGGAGGGAGGCACTGCACATGAATAGGACTGAACAACATCTTAAAAGGTGTGGGTTGTTTCAGACTCATCTATTTGCATTCAGGCAGACTACTGATTTATTAGAGTAAAGGTCAAGATCCACAACCAACTAGATGGTTGAAGATAAGAAGAATATGAAGCATGTGACTAGATCAGCTCCATCTCAACCTATTTAAACAAGATGTTGACTTTGAAAAATGAGTAATGGACCAAAGCAAGGACATGGTCTTTGATTATCATAATTCCTAATTCATGCAAAACAATTGCCCCAACAAAGAATTCACTTATCTGTTTCCTCTCAGCAACCCTCTATGATTATAACTTACAGATGAATATAAGTTTTCTATCAGCTTCTGTTGAATTTCCACACCAAGTTCTTTACCAATGAAGTCAGAAATCTGGACCTAAAAACATACATGTGTATGTATAGTTATATGAGAGTCAAAGAGAGACAGAGACAGACAGAGAGACAGAGAGAGAGAGAGAGAGAGAGAGAGAGAGAGAGAGAGTGCATGATGTAGTGAATAGAGAGCTAGTCTTATATCATAGATACGACTTCAACTTCTACCTACTGGCTGTGTGACCCTGACCAAGTCACTTTATCACTTAATTCCCCAATTCTCTAATACTATATATTTCATGGCAAGTGCCATTCTGCATTGGTAGAAAGAGAGATAGATAGATAGATGATAGATAGATAGATAGATAGATAGATAGATAGATAGATAGATAGATAGATAGATA